ATCGCTGACCGATCGTGAAGGCAGTACCGCGGTTGGTCCAGAATAGGGACTGCAAAATTCATTACTGAGTGAGTTGCATTAAAAGAGCGCGGGCTCTCATGGATTTTGAGTTCATTGATGCTAACACCTTGATTTTAAATTAGAAAAATGAGCCCTTCCTCCTTCCACTTCTCCCTCCCCTCCTCCTTTCCCCCTACCCTAAAGTCATCGCGAATTTTGAGCAATAAGCAGGCAGATATACCAAGAATACCAGGACTTGGTTTTGATAAGTTTACTAACCTGCTGCTGGGACTTCGCAATAACTTTGGGGCGCGGAACCATCATATACTGAATCAAAAACGCGCCAGCAAGTGAACTGGGAGCACAGGGGCCAGTGATGGATATAAAGGCTAGTGTTATAAGGGATGCACAACAAGAGATCCGGAATTAGTAAAGACGAAAAGTTCAATTCTTTTCGGGTCACGTTTGCAAAAAGGGCAACTTTTTGCATAGGCACTACTTAGAGACCAAAGAACCCTTGCCATTTTGTGTCCGGTTACCACTTTATTTTATAGTGAATATGCAAGTAAATTAAATATCCGTTAACTCAAAAGTGACATCAAAACAAGTGTCTTTTTTTTCATTTATAACTGAGATTTGAATGGGGGTGAAGAGTGCTCCGACAGAAAATAATAGGGCTCACCTGTAAATACCAAAACTGAACGGTGCTAGCTTCTTGTAAGCAGCCAATTTCTTAAATGTGAATACCAGCGCAACGAGACAAACCACCGAAAGCATTGAAAGAAACAGGATGAGTACATAGATGGGTAGAGGCAGAAAGGCATTCCTGATAATGCACTGCTCGACCGCCTGACCATTCACTGCAACCGAACTAACAATTGCATTTGAACCGTGTTTCAAAGTCAAAGTCCATTCACCAAGATTGCCCGAAACTTTTAGGCTATTAAGACGCAGTGATTCTGCCACTGCTAGCCTTCACCGCTCTAAGTTACTTCTCTAAGCCTGGACTGCTTTGTTCTGATTCAATTCGTAATCAGCAATTCCTTCAAGTTTCAGTCTTTATAGGACTGAAGGTGCCGAGAAAAATAACAAAAGACCAACCGGAAGCAACATGGAAGCTATGTTAATTGCTAATAGTGACTGCGCACTCATGCAGTATATGGGTAAAAAGTGCTCTGTGAGATGTGGCTGCAAAATACAACTATGAAAAATTCAAAATTCAACCATGAGAATATTCTCGAAATGTACTTTGTAAAGTCTACAGGATGATAAGTCTGAAGGTTTGGAGTAAATACAAATGAACTGCGCAGCCGTTTAGTCTGGTTTACGGAATCTCTTCCTTTTTTCCTTCCTTACTGTAACTGCTTTGTACTTGCATCACAGTACAGCCAGGTTCCGCAGATTAATATATAATGTATACTACATTTAATATTATATGTACACTCTAATATGTACAAGGACACACATAAGCACTCTCCGCATAGTTTTTTGATGATCTGTTCTAATTTTTTGTTAAAACATACAGTTAATACAGTCTTCATAACTTGAGCAACTACTTAGAGTTCTGCTGTCCTTTTGCCTGTTACTTATTAGCCAGCTTCAATACTTTTGCACTAATCAGGTTTAGCATAGAAACAGCACTACAACATTACGTGCTGTGCTGGTAGCAGCTGCCACTGCTAATGGGATTTTGTTTTTCCGAATTTTTCAACCAATGTACCTTCACTGCTTTCCAGATCATCCAGAATGGTGAGTGGCCTGGTCAATGCGACTTCGTTCACGGCATCCTCCACTCGTCGCAGCGCGGTTTCATCGTCCGACTGGCGCTTGTGTCGGAAGCGAAGTCGTTCGGCAGTCAAATTTGAATTGCTGATTCGTTTGAAGCATTTCTGCAAAGCTCGCTTAGCTTCAATTTCATGTAAGCTCATTCTAACTTACCACTTTGCAAATTTTCTGAGAATTTCTTAATTTTCTGAAAAATGCTTAAAGGACAGCTTTGTTTGTGTATGTGTTCGTGATGCTGAAATACCTGGGCACATTCCTCGGTGGTGAGGCAGACCTGCACGGTGCAGTGAGCGAATACAGTTGACTGGTTGCCAAAGCGGAATGTCTTGAACTTAGAAAAGTAAACCTCTTCGTTGACATTGGCCAATGGGTCAATTATTTCACTCATCTCGTCCACCGGGCAGCTGAAACAATCAAAGCGGTGACTCAGTTTACGTAGACCTAACTTACGCAGAAATGACGATGAAAATTTTCTTTTGAAGAAGCTACCAAACCGCAGAATTAGTTAAAAAGTATAGTCATCAAGTTACCAAGCAAAACAAAAAAACTATCGTCACACTCATTTCCTCAATGAGGTGAAAAGAAGTAGTGCAGCTGGACCGGGATATACTACCATTTAAAAACACCAAAAAAGCATTTCTATAGGTTCGACTGTCCGAATAATTCTATTTCGAGCTGATGGTTTAGGTTTTCACTTCCACCATACCTCAGGATCACTTCTTTTAGGAGTTCGAGGGGACTACTCATTTTTATTCATTTCCATCTTGCGGCAAAAACTATTCAATGTAGCTTTCTACAGAGGTTATCTTTCGATTGTGAAAGGTTTGGTACAAAAAGATGACCTGCTCTGAACAAATGTCAGATGCTTAGCGTCCGGCGACGTCATGTCTTCGCGATCGGAAAACATGCATTCCTTGGGGCTGATGCCACGATATGCTTCTGTAATTACCACTCAGTAACCCTTTAATCTGGTCTCTTATGTCGAATTATAAACAGCATTTTTTTTTTGCGCCTATGTAATGCAAAAAAAGAAAAACAAACTAGTGAGAGGTTGTCTATATGTATGCGTGTGGAGGTGAGTGCGTGAGTGTGTGTACATGTGTGGGTATGAATATGTGTGTGTGTTTATAAAGCCTGTCTCCGCATATTTAGACCTTCAAACTTACGATATCTGTGAAGCTGAAATTTTGACAGTTTGGTTTACCACCACTACGAATAGGCCCCTAGGATGATGTCCGGGCAAACGTACGTGAAAATAGTTTTCGTGCTCCCCTCATCGCACAAATGATACAGTTTTTGCAGTGTCACTTTAACGCTATGGAAACAAAAATGACAACTTTGGAATTTGATGCATGCTCCCAATCTTTTAGTTAGAAATGGCCGAAAAAACTGCGTTAGCGACAATAATCTGTGGAGAAAATTATGCAAAAACACATGTTTGTACCTGCAACCCTGAGATGCGCTTCGCTAGTGGTTACCTATAGGGCAGCACAAAAGGGAGTGAAAACGAAACGTTTGCTTTCGGAAATATCATGGCGAGAATTTCTGCCCCTTTTTTAAAATCCGATGCATACAAAATAATATTTGTTCAATGAGGTGAAAGCGGTGAAGAGCAAGGTCGTTTGTTATGGATTTTTTTAATGCTCATAAAAAGTGCGTAATTAAGAGGTATGCTCTCCTAGGTGCCACAAGCTGTTCGTACCCGCTAGGAGAAGTTTCGTTTGTTCGTTATTTTCGAATCTCAAATTTCTCGGAAGCGTATGAGCGTGCACAATGATATTTCGGACGCTCGTGGCAGCGCTCGATCGCCTTATCACGTGAGGCAGATAAAACATAAAATTGGTCCCTCCCTCTTTTCTTTGAGTCAATCATGTAGTAAAAACTAACTATCCGGAGAGAGCGCAACGTAGAATTCCACGATATCGCCAAATTTAGCGGCACGCAGTGGACGCCCGTCAATGCTACGAAATATCATTTCAACCTTGGGTTTTGGCTTTCCGCCTGTCGATGCAACAACCTCGTGGCCGCTGCAATGCACAATCGTTTTACAGGATTCGAGCAACCAAGCAAAGTTTTTCAGGAATTAAAAAAACAGAGTAGAGCAGCGGCAAAGCCAGAAGCATTCTATAAGCTTTTTAAGGCAGTTCAGATATTTTTTTAAGCTTAAAAGAGTTTTTGCTTTCCTTTTTACCTGGATATGTCGTTGAACCGTATAGTCTGTACGCTCCGTGTATAAAG